TTATTTTTTGTTAGAGTATATGTATCAAGGCTTTGATGTTCACACGCAACTCACCTAAGATGGAGGCACCCATATGGGAGATGGCAGGGATCTGCTTCTGGGAAAAGGCATCCTTCATTCTCCTACCAAATGAGTGGGAATAGCCTTTTCCCTTAGCTGAGTAACTGGAGCAGGCTGCATCTTTTAAAACTACCAGACCAGGCCAGTCTCTCTCTCTTTAGCAACATTCAAGGGTTGAAGGTCCTGTTCACCTACAGCACAGGTATGAACTAAGCTGGATGAGGTGAAAGGGTTCCTACTTCCCCTTCCTCTTAAGTCCCCCGCTCCCAAGAAATGGGCTTGGGGCCTTGGTCTGTTTTGTTTGTCCTTCTCAGTTCTAGGCCAAGGAGGGAGAGTACCTGGACTGGGGAGCTCAAGCCATGACAAGCCTGGAGCCAGGATTCTAGGCTGGATGTTGTTGATAACCCAGCAGTGAACCCCTGAGAAGTCAGAGGATTTGGAACTTGGTGGGACCAAATTTAGGAACTGAGTAAAGCTGTCAACCTAATTCCCTTCCCCTCCCCAGACTGAGGTGGTATAAGGGAGGATTACGACCCTAGGGGTTGGGGTTTGCTATACCTTTGAAGTAAATATTCCTTTGTGAGAGCTAAGCTGATTTTTAAGTGATTAAATGGAACTGGAGTGCAGGGAATCCCTAAATTGGGGGATATCATTGATGGGGGATTGAGCCTATGACCAAGAAACCTTATACAGCCTCATACACCTTAAGAAAAGGGGGTGTGTGTGGTTTGTAACATACTTGGCCTTTAAGCAGAGTGGGGCAGGGTAAGAACTGTTGCGTACATATTAAATACTGTGGGATCAATATTGCCCTGTTTGTTTGCATCTCCTTCTGAACTTCCTTCTGCTTTCTTCTGAGTATTTTAAAAAATGTTTCATTGATATATTTCTATTCTTTTTTTCTTTGCGTCTCTATCACTAGCCAACACTCACCCCAACTCTCCCTCCAAATAATAAAAGCCCTCTCTCCCTTGTAACAAATAAGCGTAGTCAAACAAAATAATGATGAATGATTGTTGGTGAAGGTGGTGCCATGATGAAAACAATTAAGAAAGACTAGGAGGATGCAAAATGAATTGAGGATTGAGAAGAGTTCTGGAGTCAGAAGGGCAAGGTATGAGAGCGCCAGTGGGAGAAAAAGATAGCTAAGGAAACACTGACCAGGATGTGGTGATTCACTGCATATAAGAGATGGAGAAGGAAGAGTCAGTGACCCCTCCAAGGTTTCAAGTCTAGGTGTCTGGGATAATGACGACACAGAAAGGAAAACTGGGGGACGTGGTGAGATCAATTTTGAATATATTGGATTTGAAATATGGTTGAGACATCCAAGAAAAAAGAGGTCATTGGGACTTGGAGATGGGACCTAGAGTTCAGGTGAGAGAGATTTTTGGTCTGGAGATAGATTTTTGGAAGTGCCCAATATGGAGGGAATAATTGAAAGCATGAAGTTGGATAAGTTCTTAATCACTCATCAAGCATTTAAGTGCTTGGTATCAGGTGTTGGGATACAATAAATCAATAAACAAGCATTTATTAAAAGTTTACTCTGTGCCTGGTGGTCTATGTCTTTAGAAGCTTACATACTATTGGGGCAGGGATGAGAGAATAAGTATATATAAAATATACACATATATGTATGCATGTACACATGTGCATATGTGCATACACATGCACATGTGTATGTATGTATACATATAAAACACAAATACAAATAATTTGGAGAGAATAGTAGCAATTTGGAGGATCAGGAAAGGCTTCAGGTTGAAGGTGGTACTTAGGCTGAATGTTGGAAGAAAAAAGATTCTAAGAGGTAGACGTGAGGGGAAAAAATGCATTCCAGGCATTGGAATGTGCAAAAGCTATTCGTGGAGTGTTGGGTGGAAGAAACAATAAGACAGCCAGTTTGGCTGGTCTGTAGAATGTGGGAAGGTGAATGATGTATATGGCTGGAAGGGTAAGTCGGGGCCTGGTTGTAAAAGTATTTTTAAAAAAACAGAAAGGGATTTATATTTGACCCTAGAAGCAATAGCCACTGGAGTTTATTCAGTAGGGAATAACATGGTCTAGAAAAACCACTAAAACAGTAGCTGAATTGAGGACAGAATGGAGTGGGGAGACACTTAAAGAAGGAAGATCACTCTCAGAAGAGAGTGTGAAGAGAAGAGCAAAAAACCAAGGACTTTAAGGACAATCACAGAAGGCTGAAGAATACAAATGAATGGGAAGTGTGGTTGGAGAACTAAGAAGGGAACCAGGAATGTACTGTCTTGGAGGCCAAGAGAGAGAACTTCAAGGTTTTCAACAACATCAAACACCTTCAAGAACAACTGAGAAAAGGCCACTAGATTTAACAAAAAGGTCTCTGGGAATAATTTTAGTAGAATGGTAAGGATAAAGGGGAGGGGTAGGTGAAGTGTGAATAGGGTGGTAAGAGCAGCTTTAGCGAAGTTGGTTGAGAGGGGAGTGGGCGAGAAGCAAATAGGTTTAGAGTAAACCATTCCTTAGAAAAGTTTGATTATGAAAGAGCAGAAAGGATTCTTAGAGACAACCTCATTTTACAGTCAATCACTTAACAAACATTTATTAAGCACCTACAGCACTGGAGACACTGTGTAGTTCTGGAAATATAATAATAACTAGCATTTAGATACCACTTTAAGGTTTTCAAAGGGCTCTACAAACATTATATTGTTTGATTTTCACAGATCTGGGGTAGAAGCTATTCTCATCCCCATTTTATAGATGAGAAAACTGAGGCTGAGACTAAGCCCTTTGCCTTGGGTCACACAGCTTGTTGATTAAGTGCCTAAGGGCATGTTTGAACTCAGGGCTTCTTGATCCCAAGTCCAACACTGGATTCACCTCACCACCACCTTGCACAGATGGCAAAAGTAGAACCATTACTGGCCTAAAGAAGTTTACATTCTGACCATGTACATATACAAGTATATACATGAAATCTGAGCTCCAAAGCCCATTGGTATGGGATTCTCCTCATTAGGAGAGATAAATATCCCACACCTTTGTGGAGTGGGAGAGGGTAGCTGAGCTATTGAGTGTCCTTAGAGATCTTCTGTCTTCAACTTCAAAATGAAAAATGCCCATCCCACTTCAGGTTGCTGAAGGTAGAAAAAGGCTCTGAGGAAGATGCCTATTTGTAGAACTTTGAACACATCCGAACTCACCATTTGCTACACTAGAGACTTCAGGGAATTTCCCTTTGGGAAATTTAGGACTCTTTCTTCTGATTGAACTGGCATACCTCCCAAAGTGAGAGCGCCTTCAATCTGTATTGTCTAGTATATATATTCTCATGTGAATTTCTCTCATTTCTGTTTTGCTACAAACTTGGATAAATGGGTCTTTGCTACTCATGTGTTCATGGTGGAATTAGTATTTGGAGGGAAAGAAGTCAAGCCCTGGATATAAAGCTTTGGGCTTTCCCCCGCTTAAGAAATAGCTATCAAGAATTTAGCTTGAATATGAAAACTATGTCCTCTAGGCTAACAATACTTAAGGGGGCAGGTAAGATATCATTCTGCCCTGTATACCTGTCTCTATGAGGAGAGCAGAGTGGTGGCCAGCCTCTGACCGCAGCCTCCTCCCGGCTGGAATTGAAATATCCCATGGAGAAGTGTGGGAGCAGGAGAATCAAGATATGTTTATTCTGGTCTCCTTAACACACACACACAATTCCCTGACAAATGTGGGAGTCAGCCATACTACATAAAGAATATACACAAAATGAACATAAGGTACTTTTGGAAGCCCAGTCATGAGCAACTAAGATCTGAGTTCAGGGCTCCTAGTTGAAGAGCTGCTTCACGTACAGAAGACGGCATGAATTTCAGTTTTAAAGGAAAGCAGGGATTTCAAAGGGGGGGGGGAGCCATTATCTGTTGAAGATTACATCGGGAAGTCACCCTCACAGTGATGCAAGCAATCTTGATTCCTTAGGATAACAGGAGAACCAAGGTAAAAGCCGAGGTCAACTATTCTGAGTATCATTAATCCAACTTCTACACACTCCAGTTAGACCATCACCTCCACCGGGTCCAAGAGATGCCGGCTGCCCATCCCAAGTCAGCCCCGGCTGATGGACAAAGCAGGCTCTCCGTCTCAGAGAGGGCATCCTTGTTCGGGCTCAGCAGATTGCCCAGGATGAATCCTGGGGTGGGGGGCTGGGGTGCGAAATCTACCAGCTTCACCACTACTCGGAAATTGGACTTGTGGAGTGAGTAAGTGAGGGAGTAAGGGAGTGTGTGTGTGTGTGTGTGTGTGTGTGTGTGTGTGTGTGTGTGTGTGGCGGGGGAGAAGCACGCGTCTCAGAGTGGGTGAGGACCCGCAGCTTCTCCACTGTGGCTGCGGATGCAAACCCCACCCCCTGACGCCCCCAAAGTACGAGCACCGCATTCCTGCGGCTGCCAGCGCAGCCCGCCGTTTGAATGTTCCCGGGGACGGCGGGCAGCTCTGTTTCCACGTTGGCAGCTGTGTGTCCCTCCGCCGGGGTCGCTTGGCCAGAAATGCCCTAGAGTCCGCCGCTTTTCCTCGTGGGAAGAGACTGGGGAGGGGGCAGAGTTGCCTTAATAAACCATAACCTCGGAGGAATTTCCCTCTTTCTACCGCTTTCTCGGCCTGCTGGGTGACAAACAAACGGTCCTTCCCTTTCTTTCCCTTCCCTTCCCTAGCAGACTGAGCCCACGGGCTTAGCGCTGTAAATGCCGCAACCACCCTCCTGCCTCCTCTCCCCTCCCCTCCCCCGTCGAAAGCTCTTCTCTGGGCCCGGGGGCACCCGAAGTCGCTCGGCTAGTTCCGCCTCCGGAGCCGCGAGGCGGGGCCACTCGGGCGTCTCCGGCCGAGTTCGGGCGTTTCCGTGCGCGGCCGCCGCTGCGCACTCGGCACTGGGCGGCGCTGGCTGGCTCCCTGGCTGCGGCTCCTCAGTCGGCGGCGGCTGCTGCTGCCTGTGGCCCGGGCGGCTGGGAGAAGCGGAGTGTTGGTGAGTGACGCGGCGGAGGTGTAGTTTGACGCGGTGTGTTACGTGGGGGAGAGAATAAAACTCCAGCGAGATCCGGGCCGCGAACGAAAGCAGTGACGGAGGAGCCAGTACCACCGGTAAGAGGAGCAGGAGGAGGAGGCAGGAGCCCGAGAGAGCCGGGGGGACGGAGGGGGGACGGGGAGGCGCCGGACACCCGCGCTCGGGGCCTTCCCCTCGCAGGAGGGGCCGCGTTAAAGATGGAGCCTCCGCCCGAGCCCGACCACATCGCCGCCGCTCTCAGCGAACAAAGAATAATGGCGGCGGACTGGAGCCAGCGGCGGCCGGGGCGGCAGCGACTCTGCCTGCAGCCAGCGGCGGCGCTCCTGGCGGGGGGCAAGCGGGCGGGCGGGGGGCCCGGGGGCACCCGGGGAGGGGCGCGGCGGGGGAGGGGGCGGCGGGAGCGGGACCCCCGCATCCCCGCGGCCCCGGCGCGCGCCGGAGGGGTGAGGGGCGCCCGCGGCGGGGAGCCGGAGCCCTGCTTCTCGCGCTGGGGGGGGGGGGGGGCATGTGCGGGAAAGCCCCGCCGAGCCCCCCCTCCCCCCCGCGGCACCCCCTCCCCCGCTCCCCTCCCCCTCCCGTGCGCTCCTGGCCAGGTTCTCCTCCTGCACCGCCGGGTCACAGGGAAAGAAGCGGTTTCAGGCCCCGGGAGTTTTTGTTGTTTTTATCCTTTTTTTTACGAGTGAGGAAAAGGAAGTTTGGGGGACAGAAAGTGTTGGCGAAGGGGTTTGCTTCCTGAAAAACCCCTCTACCACGCCAGTTTCGGGGGGGGGCGGTTGCAAAAAAAAAAGGCAACGTTTAACCTGCTGTCTTTCTCTCTTTGCTCTTTTGTGCAATAAAGTTCCAAACCAAAGGCATTTTTCGTATCGTATTTTTATTGCTGCACTTTTTTTCTCACCTCGTACCCAACCATCCCCTTTGGGAAAATTGTGGAGGTTTTTTTTCTGCGCAGTTGTGATGAGGTTAATGTTGCAGTTCGTTTTAGTTGACTTTCCCTCCTTTTTAAGAAGAGGGCGGGGGGGGGGGGGTGTGGAAACCGAGCCCGGTGTTCTCTAACCTACGTCCCTCTCTCTCTCCCCCTCTCTTTTTTTTTTTAAAAAAAACCAAGAAACTCTTTTTAGTTTAAAAAAAACTTTTATAAAAGGGAAGCCACGGCTCCTAGGCGGTTTCGAATTTAACCCTTTTTGAGGTAAAAGTCACTTGCACCGTTTCATTCTGAAACTTGTCTTTAAAAAAATAAAAAAAGAACGTTTTTCTGAGTCTTTATGGGGGTGAACATCACTGTTTCTTCCAAACCTTGTGAAGTGTTATCTATGTTTCCATCTCTCTTCTCCACATCTCCCTGACCCCCTAATTCATGTTCTTGACAATATTTAACTGTCAGAAGTGGTAGCAACTTAGTAAAGCCCTGAAGTTGTGTGGGGTTTTTCTAATAGTATTTATTTCCCCCTATAGCACAATAACCTTCATCGTGAAATAAAAGGCAACTTTTGTTTACACATTTTTTGGTTTTTCCCTATGTAGTACATACCTTCATCTTGGAGTAAAAAAGCAACTTTTATTTACACATTTTTGTTTCTCTTAGTTGGAGGCAAGAAGAATGTCTTTTAAATTCATTGGCACATTAGCTATGGGAGGGGAGACTTTTTTTTTTGGTAACTTTGATCATGATCTGTTTCAGTTACCTGTATTTCTTAACACCTGTAAGTTAGGATTTCAGATAAGAATATCTACAATGCAAATTTTTAACATGTTTTTAATTTAGAATATTTTTGACCGGCTGAAATTAATATTTTTCTACATACACTTTAGTTTCTTGATTTAAAATTGTCTTCCTCAGACTTATTTTTCTGGTGAAAAAATATATCTCTAAGTCTTTATAATTTAGAGGAACTGTCACACTTGACTAAAGGCATTTTATTTTTCAAGATAAAACTACATTCTTTACCCTTTGATATAATAATTTATGAGTATTGTGATCTGTAGCTAGAATTTTAGGCTAAACAAAAGTTGTGGTAACTTTACCTTTTGCAAATTACAATCTCAGAGCCTCAGTTTCTTTATCTGTAAAACAGGTAATAATATCTGCAGTACCTATCTCACAGGGTTGTTGTGAGGATCAAATGAGAATGTATGTAAGTGCTTTTTAAATCTTAAAATGCTCCATAAAAATCAGGTATTTTTGTGTGACAGCTAGACAGTCACCCCTCCCCAACCACACATACATATACACATATATACACGTGTATTTAAAATTCCGTGTTCTTAGTTTGCCATCTTTGGGATAATTTATTTTAGGTTTTATTAAAGGGAAACTTGATAAGGAAATTGCTCATAAAACATTATAGTACAGCCTGACCAGCAAATGTTAGTACTTTTTCACACTTGTAGAAACCAAGAACAGACTCTACTGTGTAAGCATTTTATTGCTCTTAGATTATTTTTCTTGTAGTCCCAACCTAGAGTAACATGTGAGTTCTTAATTTGTAGTTCTTGGGATCGTCTGATCAATATTTGAATGCACTTATGGTGCTGAATTGAAATGATTTAGTATCCTCCCAACTGTCTATTTTTAAGCAATTAATTTCTGTCCATTGAACGTAGCAGAGCAGTTGTACTGTAAACATAAAAGGATGGGGAGAGGGAAGTGTTCTAATTGGAAGTATTCAAATGGCAAATTCATTTCAATCTAAGGCTAATTTAATTTAATCTTAGTTTATGCCTTTGAATTTTCCAGTAGTTGAGATTTTTGTGTTTATTTTTGTTTGTAGGGATAACATACTGTTAGGAGTTTTGTCAAGGTAACCTAAATAAAATTTAGTAATGTGATAATTAATTTAGGTAGACAGTTTTAAATTTACTATTGGGATAATTCATATACTTCGGGTGGGGGGGGTGACATTTCTTCATCTCCACTTGAGTCTTTAATCCTTCTGGCATGTCAGTTTTGAATAGTGTGAAATGTCATAGGCCCTTTGAATAGGTAGAGAACAGTAACTTTTTCATTTTCTTAAGCAAGTATGCATTATTTCTGTTTTTGCTTTGAGTTAAACCACAGCTACAGAAAAAAGTAAATTTTATCTGTCCACATCCTAGTTGTAATTTCATGTTGGAGCATTTATTTCCTTCATGTTGAGCTAAAATTGACTCATTTGTAATTTATGTATGACATGTATCATTGTGTGTACACATCCAGCCAACTATTCCTGTGTATATTCTTGGAAAATTATTTGTTTGCCCATTTGAAACAACAGTTCAATTATTTGAAAGGTAAGGTTCAGATCTGTTATGTATACCTAATGAATGAAAAAAATGTTAAGATTTTTTTTCCTGGCCTCACAGTGGGCTCTTACAATGTCTATTACATTTAGTTGTTTGCCACAAGATAACACAATTAGGACCTTAAGTTTCTAAAGCTTTTACTTAATAGCAAAAGGATTCACACATGTTATGTACATATACATCTGGATTTATAGGCATGATATCTTGTAAAAGGATGAGAGGACCTTTCATTGAAAACTTTGAACAGCAGAAAATCAGGTGATGTAAATCACCTGATTTTCTGAATTAAAAGAAACATTACTTTGCACAGAAAAATTAATACAGTTGTTGTGGATAAACATGGGAGGTTTGGAGTATCACTATTTTCCATTCAGATTCATACTATGGTAAGCAGAGCTGTTTTCCTAAACTAGTTAATATTTTTGACTGACCTGCTTTTTTCTGTGGGGTTTTTTTCTCTTTTCCTGTTGTACATAACACTTAACTCCTGTAGTAGTAAGAAATACTGTCATAAAAGTGCCTCAAACAATTTCTCATCATTTTTATGTTTAGTGATCATTATTCAGATGGCCTTTGCACGTCAGATTTCTTGATGGTTTACCAATATTTGTGGTGTTTCAGAAAGAGACATTAGTGTGGTTTTCAACTTTGGTTCCCAAACAAACTGAAATTTTAACTTCTTTTGATATGTAAAGCTGTACTGTATACAATACAAGGTTTTTTCATCCAAGTTTTTATTTTGGAAACCCAGCTATGTCATATAATGCATATGACTCAATTAAGAAACAAAAGCCATTTATTCATATTATACTTAAACAATCCTGTGAACATATTTTTTTTTAACCTAAGGTGTCAGATACTTACAGTGCTATCTTTTGGATCCATTACTTCCTTTCTGAATTTAATAGTGATTTTTATGAGTAACTTACAATTGAGAAACAAGAATGTATTTTGTTTCCAGTTCTAAAATTGTTTTCAATGTGTGTAGTAGAAAGAGTGCTGAATTTGTGGTCAGGAAACCTGGATTCAAATGTCAGTGTGACCATGGGCAAGTCACTTGGAACTCTCTGGGGCCTTAATTTACTTATTTGTAAAATAGATTGGGTTAATTGCTAATGTCTCTTTCAGCTCTAAGTCCTGTGATCCTTTAAGTGCAGCTGCCTTAATGCTAGGATTGTCATTTGTACACTGAAATTACATAAGTTGAAAATTCAAATTCTTTTAGTTTTATATCTATTTTTGTTTTACCTGATGATCTCTTATGTTATTTTTATTATTTAAAATGACACCCTGTACTAAAGGTGATTTTTTTTTAACAGATTGCCATTTTTGCCTTTTGTAATGAATCTACAAGCACAAATATCTTTATAGGCTTTCTGATATATTTAAATGTTTTTTTCATTGGTGGAAGCAACCCAGGGCTCCCTTTGGTAGGTGGAGGAGCTGTTTTCATTTAACCTATAAAAGGGACTTTACAAAAGGGTTTTACTTTGTAAAGAGTTATCTTGATGAGAAGAATCAGTCAAAATTTGTTTATTAAGCAGCCAGACATCATAATAGATAATAAGAATATAAAAGCATGGGGGCAGCTAGGTGGCGCAGTGGATAGAGCATGGACCCTGGAATCAGGAGGACCTGAGTTCAAATCCAGCCTCAGACACGTAACACTCACTAGCTGTGTGACTCTGGGCAAGACATTTCACCCCAATTGACTCACCAAAAAAAAAAAAGAATATAGAAGTGAGACAGTTCCCCTTAAGAAGCTTACCATAGATATACAATACTATTTTCTGTTCTC